ACCGACATGTAGTATTAGGGGATCGGGTGTCACGAACCGACACGTAGTATTAGGGGATCGAGTGTCAGGAACCGACACGTAGTATTAGGGGATCGGAGTGTCACGTTCCGACACAAGAGGAATAAAGAGAATGAATCTTGAATTATCTTAATATACTCAAAGTTTAATGAACCTATTTCCCAAATGAGTATGGTATGGAGGCTTGAGTCCTCATGGGTGTACTTGGCGTTATTATCAATGATTCTTGTACTTATTGTTGCTACCTGTTGAGTATTGTAGTTGATTTTATGATATTATCTGATATATACTGTTTTCTATTTTGAGTTGACCGATGATATCTACTCAGTACTCGTGTTTCGTACTGACCCCTACTTGTAATTGTTTTTCTTTGTTATTTGTGGAGTGCAGCAAACGTACCGTTGTCTTCAACTCAACCGCAACTCTAGCCACTCTTCATTACACCGGATTTCAGGGTGAGCTAACGCTTCTAGCTTGGACTGGATCTTCTTCTTCATGTCTTGATGCCTTCAAGTTCCGGCATGGACTAGCTTTTTATTTATTCTAGCTTTCTAGATACTCTTAGAATTAGTAATTTGAGGATAGATGTTCTTGTGATGATGACTTCCAGATTTTTGGGATAATAATAAGTGTTTGAGTTTTAGAAGTTATTAATCTATTTTTGTTAATGAGTTTTAAGTCTTCCGCATTGTATTCTGTTTATTATGGTTAAAATGTTGGGGTTTAGATTGGTTGGCTCGCTCACATAGGAGGATAAATGTGAGTGCCACTCACGGCCCGTTTTGGGTCGTGACATCGGTAATGAATATATTCTACCTGATTCTATCATGGTGATTAAAGCTTGATTCAATAAAGTACTTATCTATTATTTTATGGTTCACAAGTTAATATAAATACTCGTAATTGAAACAATTATCGATAATTGTTCACTTCCCTCTTATGGAATTAGACTTAACACTTATGATGTGTTGTTGAATAGTGTAAGATTTGACGCATTATCACATAAATATATACCGACAGAAATATTATTGAGTTCTTTGTACAATCCTTTTGTAACTACTTGTGATCTCATAACAATATACATATAGAATTGTCATCCTAAAATAATCTAAGCTTAATCGCCAAAATTTACGGTGACATATCTCTAAATTTTTTAATGAACTATTTTGATTCTAAAAGATATGAATTTATATATATTTAATTTGGTTTACTAATTAATAAGTCTATATAAAATCACATTTTTACTATAAAAGTCCATATCTATGTGATCTCCTAACAACGTACACTAATAAACTAATTTTTTTTTTTTTGTGTGTATATAAAATGAATACTTTCATCAACAATGAAGATTTCAACAAGAAGAAAGTGATCTTCATAATGTGGGTCACAGGAACGGGAAAATCCCGTCTCCCTATTGACCTTGCCACCCATTTTCGAGGAGAAATAATCAACTCAGATAAAATGCAAGTTTACAAGAGACTTCAAATTGTTACAAACAAGATCACACACACTAAAAAACTAGGTGTACGACACTATTTGTTAGGTATATATGTTTAGTCTAAAAAATGCTTATATCAAATGACTACCTAGATAATTTTATAGTAGTAATTATAGAAACGTCATCCTAAAATAATTCAAGCTTAATCGCCAAAATTTAAGGTAACAAATCTCTAAAAAAATTTAATGAACTATTCTTATACTAAAAGATATGAATTTACATATATTCAATTTTGTTTACTAATTAATAAGTCTATAAAATATATTTAATAATAATTACCAAAATTCAAGTTGACATTTCTACAAACTTTTAAAAGTCATTCTTATCCTAAAATATATCAGTAATTATGAAATTGGTATGTCAACTCATAAGTCCTCAAAAAGATTTTACTATAAAAGCTGAATGTAATTTTTTTTTAACATCCACCATCAAGAAAATATTATATTTTTAGATACTCGAATGTTAATTTGTAACCAACTTGACAAGATTCAACGATTAATAAGCGATAAAATGTGATCAGTGCATCATATTATTGCTATGAACGTTTTCAAAGAAGATAGAGAAGAAGATCTTGACGAAGCATGGACGAATACTGTTTTGCAACCATGTCTAGATAATGTGAAGAGATTTTTAAAAAACGATCATGTAACGACCAAGTTCGGTCATTTTGAGCAGAACTTTTTATGTCAGAAAATAATTTTCGATAGATTCTAATTGATTTTTTGGACTAATCATAATTATAATTATGAAATTAGGGGGGTAGTTTTAATAATTAAGTTAGTAGGTGGTTAAAGGAGATAATAATAAAATAAATAAGGGGTAACTTTTACCCCATTATAATATTAAGGTATACAATTAGGGTGATAACTTATCTGTAGAAAGGAGGAAAAACAAAAGAGAAGGGAGGCGCGCGAATCGTCAAAGCAAATTCACGAAGGGAGTTCAGGTGACCTTTTTCTTTTACTTTTCGTAATTAGATTAATGGAATGTTTATTCTTTCTGGGTTAATGTAGTAGCGGTGGCTATGAAAATTATCATGTGTGTGATCTTGTATATTACAAATCAATTGTGTTATGTTGGAAATTCTGTCAACAAAATATATGTATAGAATACTTATTAAAGTCTATTGAAATCATGGTGAGTTGAGGACTTAAAATATTATTATAAGGTGAATTAATTAGGAAGAGAGAAAACATACGTGTTTGATAATGAAGAATGACGGCTCTGCCTTCAGGTAATGTTTCGATAATTCTGATTAAATATTTTTTATGTACGCTTGTTGCTTAGTAAAATGGTTAATGTTTGTTTTATGGATACTATTACTACATTGGTGTGGATTGAAAAGAGATTCGAGTATAATGGTGTGAATATGAATAACTTGATGGATAATTGTCTTTTGTTAATAGCCAGTAACTTTAATGGGTTGGACTTGGAAGAAATTTGTCGGAGTGATTGTTAAGGTGTGAATGTTAATCAAATTATCAAAATTTATGTCAAGATTATAAGAAATAGCAGTGATGTGAATTAATTGTAATCAGTAATTTGTATAGATATACTTTGATACTAGTAAGTTGTATCAAAGTGAAATTGTTCTCAAATTGAGGTGGCAACAAAAGTGACTGCCACTTTTGTTTTTTTGATGTCAATTCAATCATAAAACATCACCAACTGAATTAGGGGAAGATTATTGTACAATTGTAATGTGATGATTGGAGGAAAGTAAAATAATATAGTGACTTAGATGACAAAGATGATTTTGTGATTAACAATAGTGGACTATAATTAACTTATATTAATCTGGGGTTATTTTCTTTTGCTCTATAAATTATATCTTCATATATTGAGATAGGTAATTCAATATTATGTGTATCGAATTATTTCAATCCCATTATAGTTATGCTAATGGGAGAAATTTGGACTTATATTTAGGTTTGAACTTTAGCAATTGATTATTGATTTAGGTGAATTTTTGGGTCTAGGATAAACGTATAGTAATAACCTGGGTGTTTGTAGAATCATTAACTTACAAATGGTGCATATATACTTGATAGATTGGAAAGGTTCAGAGGCATTACGGAAGGGAAAAGCGTTGGAGAATTAGTTACTTGACTTCAGTTCTTCGATGGAGGTCGGTTATGGTTTATTTATATTTGATAGATAAACTCTAAATAACGATTGATATGTATTGAGTGATATTGTAAAGTCTCCTATGTACTTGATTGTGGTTGTATGTTTTGATTGTGTGGTTTGTGGTTGGCCTAAAATTATGAGACTGTTGAATTTCTAATCCTGAACCCTCTCTATTAAAATGACGCCTTCAATAAAGAATGCTTGATGAAATAAAATAATGAGATAATTGGATCGGAGTGTCACGTTCCGACACGGTATTATTGGATTGGAGTATCACATTCCGACACGGTATTATTTGATTAGAGTGTCACGTTCTGACACGATATATGGAATTGGAGTGTCACGTTCCGACACAATAACATTAAAGGAAAGGAATCCTGAAGTAACTTAATATACTTAATCTCAAAGTACTTATTTTCCAAATGAGTATGGTGTGTAGGCATGAGTCCTCATAGGTGTGCTTGATGTTGTGATTGATGGTGTACCTATTATGGTGTTGTTGTCAATGGTTCATGTATTTGTTGCTTGCCACCTATTAAGTATTGTAGTTGATTTTATATTATTATTCAATATAAATTGATTTCTATTTTGAGTTGACCGATGATACCTACTCAGTATGTGTTCCTTGTACTGACCCCTACTTGTATTTTCTTTTCTGTTCTTTTGTGGAGTGCAGCAAGTGTACCATCGACTTCTACTCGCCCTCAGCTCTAGCCAGTCTCCAGCACATCAGATTTCAGGGTGAGCTATTAATTCTAGCTCGTGCTGGATTTTCTCATTCACGTCTTGATGTATTTGAATTTCGGACATGGACCATCTTTTTGCTTATTTTGGATCTTAAACACTCTTAGACTTGGTAATTTGAAAAAAGATGTCCTTGACGTGATAACTATCAGATTTTGGGATGATAAGTATTAAACTTTAGAAACTTATTTAAATTGGTTGCTTAATAAGTTTTGGAGCTTCCACATTATTTATATTTTTTATAGTTGAACTATTAGTATATGTTGGGGTTTAGATGTGTTGGTTCGCCCACCTAAGGAGGTAAGTGTGGATTCCACTCACGACTCTTTTTGGTTTATGACAAACTTGGTATAAGAGCGTTAAGTTCAATGATCTCATCACACAAGGAAAAATCTAGTAGAGTCTTGCGGAATGGTATTGGTTCGCCTTTACTTTTCTTGGAGAGGCTATAAGACTTTAGGAAAACTTCATTCCTTCTCTCCTTCGTGCTATTACTTGGATCCAATTGGTATCTAGGTGATACAAGTTGGTATCTGACCTTCTCACTCTATTTTGCAGATGGTTAGAACTAGAGCAACAACTGTGTCAACACCAACACCGATAATACAAGGTGCATCTGAGCCAACCATTGGGGCTGTAACTCAAGGAGGAGCAGTGACAAGAGGTCATGGTAGAGGTCGCAAAAGGATGCCCACTAGAGGCAGAGGACAAACATCTGGTCCAGCTAGGAATAGAGTAGTGGCTGCTCCACTGACTGGTCAGGTAGTGAGAGAGGGTGAAGAAGGGGAAAATGAGAAGATTCAGGATAAGGAAGTACCACCCTAGCCTACCCCTGAGATGATTAATCAGGTTCTTACTTATCTTAGCGGGTTATCTCATCAGGGAAAGACACCTCCAGTGTTCTTTGCACCAGCACCTCAGGTTCAGGGAGTACAACATGCAGCTGTTGTGGCTCCCTACATGGATGGATCATTGGAAGTAGGCACGTTTCCTCGATTGACTAAATAAGTTCTATAATGACAAGTGATAAGCATGACCTTTTCATTAGGTTCTTAAAGTTGAAACTTCCAATCTTCAAAGGTGCTGAATCTGAAGATGCCTATGATTTTCTTGTTGATTGTCATGAGCTGCTTCATAAGATGGACTTTTTTCAATTTTAAAAGGATTTATAATCTAATTTATCTTAATTAAATACTGCATTCATAACTCCGATTTTAAATTAAATTTAATATTTGTAAAAAAAATTATAAAATCTAATACAACATAATTCTCCTTATTTTTGCATTATGTTATTGTTAGAAAGACTATCCTTGTTAAAATAAAATATGTCTTACTAATTATATCCTTTTTGGTAATTAATTCAATTCCCATTTCCTTTTTGATTATTTATTCAGAATCCCCAAAATAATGTTTCAAAAATCAACTTCTCCTATCACTATGATAACTCTATTAGGTCTCTATAAATTTAACAATATAAATAAAGAAAGAAAATCAATCGATTCATACTACACAAAGAGTTTTTTATATTAAAGAAATCTCTCTTGTCATATAGAAGTGTCAGGAGCTTTAAAAATATTTTTTAAGATTTTATTTTTATTCATATATCATTTTTTTTAAATGAAAGAAATAATTATATTTTTTTAATATGTTACTTATTTGGGAGCATTAGAAATTTTATTTGTGAATAATAATAATAATAATAATAATAATAATAATAATAATAATAATAATAATAATTATAATAATAATTTGATGTAAAATTAGTATTTTATTCCTTAAATTTAAAATACGGCATTTATCCTTAAAAAATAAAATTTGTTACATTTGAATTCATACTATAACTATATACAAGTTTGCAACAGGAAAATACATGTAGATAAAGTTCGTTATATCGCTAATGATTGATATTGTTCAAGCTTGGGGTCGTGACGAATTCCTTTCACAAATAAGGCCATATATATGTTGTTGTAACGACCCATTCAGTCATTTTGAGTACTAGAGCTTTTTATTTCATAAAATATTTTTCGATAGATTCTAAAGAAATAATTTAGATTATTCGTAACTTTAACTATATAAGTGATGGGGTTAATTTAATAATTTATTTAGTTAATTGTTAAAGAAAATAACATTAAAATTTATAGTGTGCTACTTTTATTATATTTATTATAATAAGTAAGGAGGGTTTATTAATTTTTAGTCATTAGATAAAAAGAAAATAAAAGCGAGTTCGGGCGATTGTGCATAGGCCGCACATGAGAAAAGATCGATTCAGGTATGAACTTAGCTTGGGATATTTTGTTTTAGGTAAAGATCAAAGGATGTAGGTTTATAATTAAGGGAGTATTACAAATTGGGTTCCGTAAAACATAGGTTATTAAATTGTTAGAACAAATGAATACGAATGATAAAAATATAAGGAATCCAAAAAAAAAACTTGCTTGATTTAGAGGTACGTTAATTAGTTTCTTGAAAATAGTTGGAGTCTCTCCCACGAGCAATCGGAAGAATAAATAATAACTCTATCTTCAGGATTCAATTAAGTCACAAAACAAGTAGCATTCAAGAATGTTGCTCTTCTATTCTTGAATTGGTGATTTCACCTTTTGATTAATGTCTCACAAGTATTTTTCAAGGAAAAGTAGTTTTCTGAATGCTTCTCTTTTCAATCAAAAGAAACTCAATTGTAGTAAAAATATGTTGTAAGAAAAAGACTTTAATTAAATTGTATTTATTATAGGTTCATGAATTAAAAGAAAAAATTTATCTTTCAAAAATCCATAACATAGAATTAAAAATTGTCTTCTAAAAGACTCGTAACGTATTTAAAACAAAAGTGAATATTACAATTCACATTCATGCATTTTGTATACTTCAAAAAACTTTTATTAAAAGAATTTGTTTCAAAATTAATTGAAACGCTAACACTTACAATGCTCCACTTGTTTCAATAAATTTTATCTTTAAAAAATTCAAAAATATTTTGAGACACTAATCTAGCAACATGCATCAATAATGGTGTCTTTTGGACTTGAACCATTAGCTAGTGAAGGTTTTCTAAATGATTGACTACTTAGTGAACACATCTTGAACCAAGTGGTTCATTGAATGAAGTTAGAAAAATACTTCAGCATATCACTATGTTCCGGTGAAAATCAAAATTCTTTCACACTTTACGACCATGTGTCCTGAATCCTTTTAGCCAAGTGCTTTAACATTTCCCTATTAAAATCTTATTGAAGCGGCCTCCACTTCGCACTTAGTGCGATGAATTCATCAAAATGACTTTTCATACTCCGACCTCATAGTCTATGAACTTCATTAAGAGAAATTAATCTCATCCTCCTTGACAACAAAGTATCGATAAATCTATCAAGAGTATACCTACACACTCCCATTGAAATCGATTTATTGACTTATTAAGAGAATATAATCCCATCCTTCTCTTCATTAGGAATATCAAAAATATTTATCAAGAGTTTTCTTACTAACTCCAACCGAGATCGGTCTTATAAATTAATTAAGAGAAAAGAATCTTAATCATGCACATCTACTTATTTCATTTTATTTTGAAAATAGAAATTTTATTGATGTGCTTCACAATTGTAACTTTATTTGTTTTTCACTTTGAACCCAAGATTACATCATTATGTAGGGTTTCATAGAGTATAATTAATTTACAACAAGCTTTGTTCTCATACCATTACAGGTTTCCACCACTAACTCTTTGCCTAAGCCTTTAGACAAAGGATCCGCTAAATTAAATCGGGACTACACATATTGAAGCAATATCACGCCTTCCTCCACTAATCTCCTCACATAATTGTGTTTGAACGAACTTGTCTCGACTTGCCATTGTAGCAATTACTTGAACCTGAAATATAGCAATTTGATTATCACACAATAGATAGTTAAAGGTGGTACTAACTTACTTCATAAAGGAATATCTATAAGCATAGGTCGCAGCCAATCAACTTCTTCTCCAGCAGAAGACGTAGCTATACATTCTGACTCCATGGTTGAATGAGTAATACATGTTTGCTTCTTTGATTTTCAAGAGATCGCAGCTCCAGCAAAAGTGAAAATCCAAGTAGTAATAGAGTCATTCGGATCAGAATTCCAAGTAGCATCACTATAGCCTTCAAGAACAACGAGAAATGGAGAATAATGTAGGCTAACATTAATTGTATCCTTCAGGTATCTTAAAACACGAATTAAGGCATTTCAATATTCAATTCCAAGATTACTAGGAAACTTGCTCAAAATTTCTGCGTAACCAATATCCGGATTGGTACAATGCATGGCATACATAAGATTCTCAACAATCTGAGAATATGTCAGCTGATCGAGGACATCACTAGATTCCAGATTAGTTTGATGCAAGGATCAAATGGTGTAGGAGCAGGTTTGTCATCAAAGATACCAAACCTTTTCAGAACTTTCTCAAATATAACTTGATTGAGTAAGAGTCAATCCATTCGTTGATCTTATAATTTTAATACCCAAAATTACATCAGCTTCTCCAAGATCTTTAATTTCAAATTGAGAAGCTAGAAAAGATTTGTTTCTTTGACTCTTTCAATATTTGTTTCGAAGATCAACATATCATCTACATAAAGACATATTATAACACCAGATGTGTTTTGAAATTTACTAAATATACAAATATCACCACCATTGATTGAGTATCCATTAGAAATCATTACTCGTCTAAATTTCTTATTCCATTGTTTTGGAGCTTGTTTTAATCCATTAAGAGATTTAAGAAGCTTACAAACTTTGTGTTCTTGACCAAGAACGACAAATCCTTCTGGTTGTTTCATGTAGACTTCTTCATCTAGATCACCATATAGAAATGCAGTCTTCACATCCATTTGATGTATTATCAAACTATAAATTGCAGCTAAAGCAATCAAGAGTCGAATAGATGTCATTCGAGTTACTGGTGCAAAGGTATCAAAATAATCAATATCTTTCAATTGAGTAAAACCTTTTGCTACCTAGAGAGCTTTGTACTTATCTAAGGTACCATCTGATTTTAACTTTTTTAAAAAAAATTTATCTACAACAAATAGATTTACATCCAGAAGGGATGTCTGATAAAATTCATGTATTGTTTGACATAATATAATGCATTTCATCATCAATAGCTTTACTCTAGAAAGGAGCATCATGTGAAGCCATTGCTTCAACATAAATTTTAGGATCATTTTCAGCTAAATAGACTTGAAAATTTGATCCAAAATCTCTTGGTTTGGCTGATCGTGCACTATGTCTTGGTTGACTTTCTTCCAAAGGTTCAACTATTTTTGTTTTAAGAGTAGATATAGAAGAACTTGTATTTTGTTCCAAAGACTCTTTTTTCTTAGGAAATATATGCTCAAAAAGTTAGTATGAAACAATTCAATCATTGTGCGAGGGCTTGGAGTCTCAAGATTCAAAAATCTATAAGTCTTACTGGTTTGTGAATAACCAATAAATACACAATCTATTCCTCCATATTCAACTTTAGTCAATTGTTGATATGGTAATCTAACATGAACCAAACAACCCTACACTTTAGAATAATTTATATTCGGCTTTGGATTCTCCCAAAGTTCATACGGAGATGAATCATATTTCTTGGAAGGAATTCGATTCAAAATATGACATGTAGAAAATAAGGCTTCAGTCCACAAATTTTCGGTGATATCAGATCCATAAAGCATAGAGTTAACCATTTCAATGAAAGTTCTATTTTTTTTAGCTACACCATTTTGTTGCGGTGTTTAATACATAGTCAATTGTTTCTCAATGCCTTCTTTTTCACAAAAATCAATAAAATCTTA